CAAATCCGATCCTAATGAAACAGGACCCACCAGAGGTGCTTTCCAACTAGGCCTACCCACATATTTCTCTTTCAAGCATAGAGATTTTTGCATTGTTAGTTTGTTTGTTTGAGAAAAGAGAGGTACATCGACACAATAATGGTCATTTGGAACTGGGAAAAAGTAAGACAGACAGACAGAATCAACAGAGGGAAAGTAAAGAAGTCGGACCTACCAGTGGCCCCTTCCAATCACCTGCAGCCTGCAGTATTTTTGTGTCACCACCATAACAAGCAAATGCAGATTAGAAAAAAAGACAAAAAAAAGAAACTGGCCGGTTCATAATTATCTGAAAAAGCAAAAAAAATTAGAGGACGCACAAAATCTTTGACTGGTCATGATCATGTCACAGACTAACGAGCTCAAACAAAAATACATCTAAGGGAATTCTTCAAAAGAAACAAATCTTACAAAAAGGCCCTTCTAGTTACACAATCTAAAATCTAAAATCTAAAATCCCACATAAAAACACTGTCTTAAAATGAAAGTTCTCAAAATATCTGTCAAACTAAAACACTGGTTATTAGTCCTGATTTTAATTTTTTTTAACTTCTTCCTTCCTTTCTGCTGCTTCCAAAAATACAAACCATTTCTCTCAAAGATGCACACACACAAATAAAAATCGGTTGAAAAGCCATACATTCACTTTTTTTCATATTTCCCTTGATAAAACCACATCAATGCTCTACACAGCTTGCAGGAGCCTAGTTCAGAATAAAGTCAAGAACTTTTTTTAAACACTCCAATCCCATCTTCGTCTTTTTGTTTTAGTTTTAGTAAGAGTTTTACAGCACTTGCAACACAATAAGGTAATACAAGTGCCGAAGATTAGAGGTGTTACAAGAGAGTAACAAACACCAAAAAGATAAGGATGGCATATCTGACAGGAAAAAAGGAACAAACCTCACCAGAGCACCCGCCAACCACCCACCTCATCTTCATCACATTACCCAATATCATTCAAAACATTTTTTAAAAGACACTAATGCTGGAAAAATAAGTAGAATTTCACAATATTATGTAGTTTTCTGCCCAGAATAAACCTGAAGATAGGAAACGGTAGTAGGCCCTACATGTCATATTAATATGAAAACATTTTTCAAAAACATTAATCTTCAAGCCCTAATTTCAAAGTACAGTCAAACCTGTCTGTGACAGAAGCGAAAGGGAGCCAGAAAAAATTCTCTCAGACATTTTCCGTCTTGGACAGGGGAATTTAGAGGGAGAGGGAGGGGGGTTTCAGGGGCCCAGCCTGTGGTATCAAGGGTCGCTTCTTTGGTCAGGAAGCAGTGGTCAAACTTAACACCTCCCAAATGCTATCCTAGCCTCTCTGTAAAGGCATACCTCAGTCTTACTAATTATTAACTGCCACCATCTTGAGTGCTTGCATCTCAATGGACCACTGTTTGACCAATTCAAAACAAATGATTGAACGTCTCCTTTAGCGTCCACCCTTTGCCCCACCCATTGGTGTAATAACTAGGCACAAAATCAACCAACGCTACCCCTCCCGTGCATGTAACAATGCTTCGAGTTCACACTACATGTACTAGCTACCCAAGAAAGTTTCCAGGCTGGAGCGCCACCCAGGCACTTTCACAGGCGCTGGTGAGATTTCCCACTCACACCACCCTGACAAATTGCACTGATCTACCCCCAAATCCGAACCCCTACCTCCCTTCCTCCCCTGGCGGCACAGCGTAAAAGTTAGAGCCAATGGGACTAAACTTGGGTGTTTTGTTTCAAATCACAGCTGAGCAGGTGAAGCATTTTCCGTCTTAGACTTAGACAGGTAAATACTCTTCGAAGGAAAAGAATTTCTCTTTCCGTTCCCAGATCAAGCAAGTTTCCATTTTACAGAAAGTAATGATAGAGGAATTTAATCAACAAGGGAGGGGAGAGATTACATTATGAAAGGTTTCCGTCTTAGAAGTTCCATTAAGGCAGGTTCAACTGTACATAGAATATAAATGAAAAGTAATAAAACAATAAAAATATTAACATTATTATTGTTTATATTACTATCCATTTATATTATTCAAGTGACTGTGAGCCTATTTGTGACTGCAAGCAAACTAATATGTTATAATTATGTTTGTGTGAACAGATGTGTGTGGAAGAAAGGATCACGTGTAAGGGAAGAGTGTGTGTGTGTGTGTGTGTGTGTGTGTGTATAGGTGTGCACATGTGCATGCGTATGCATGTGTGTGTGCGTGTGCATGTTTGTGTGTGTGTGCGTGTGAGAGCATGTTTGTGTGTGTGTGTGTGCGTGTGAGAGGGTGTGTGTGTGTGTTTGTGCGCTTGTGTGTGCGTGTGAGAGTGTGTGTGTGTGTGTGTGCGCACGTGTACGTGTGTGTGTGTGTGTGTGTGTGTGTGTGTGTGTGTGTGTGTGTGTGTGTGTGTGTGTGTGTGTGTGTGTGTGTGTGTGCCTGTGTGTGTATGTATGTGTGTATGTGCTGAAACATCAAACCAATGTGCCAGGATCTGGACAATAAAGGTGTATCTTATTTTATCTTATCTTTTCTTATAATTACACAATGTTAGCTTGGTCAGAGTCACAGACAAAAGCTCCATCAACAAGGTAAACAGCAACACAAACAGCACAAAAACTTTTTAGACAACAAAATATTTTTGCATGAGACTAGCACTGATATATATATATATATATAAAAACAATCAGGGACCATAATTTACAACCGATAAGGCAATACTAGTTTGGTAAGAGCTTTCTGGCATTTGCAACACAAATAGGACAGGTCATGTAAGTACAGAAGATTAGAGATGTTACGAGAGACAGAGTAACATACAAAGAAAGAAAAGGAGGAGAGATAAAGACAGAGATGTTAGATGGCTAAAGTAAAGCTGTTCCCACATCCGATCCGGACACTGGGGATTGCCTTGTTAGTGAGACAACCTCCTGGGCCTTCGGCATATTGTGGTAGGGTGGCCAGTTCCTTTCCACGCCGCTTTACTTCCCCAACTCGAAGGCAGGTACCCATTACTGCTGGGTGGGCAGGAGGGGGCAAAAAAAATCTGTGTCCAAACCGAGGCTCAAACCCGGAATTTCCGCTTCGGAGACGAACGCACTAACCGCTCTGCCACCGCACCCTCTCAACACTTTTAGATGGTTCAGATAGGAAGAAAGGAGCAAAACACGTCCGAACTACCCAAAATACATACATATTTTTACACATGTACATCAAAAAAGTGCAAAAACTATAAGGAAAGAGAAGGAAACTGTAAAGGTCGAGGGTCACACAGTCTCAAAACTAACATCACAGAAAAGTTCAGTCAGCAAAAAAAAAACACAAAAAAAGAGAACAAATGGCAAGTGGTAGCTGTGAGTTTGTCAGCCGTGTGTTTGACAGCCGCAAGTGTTTTTGGCAGGCCCAGAAGCAGGTGAGTTGTCCATTTCATACCAGAGCCACTGTAGCTGTTTTTACAATTTCAGGACAGACAAATCACCCTGAACTTATGAAGAGTGCATGTACAAGATTATACCTACAGGCCATAAGTTATGGTATAGATCTTTATAATTTAGTCATAGCCATCCCATACCACCCCTCACTAACTTTGCTCATGTTACAACACTTTTTTTAAAATATAGGCCTACAGAAAAGAAGAACCACTTTACCACAGACCTCAACTCCAGATGACTGATATCAAACAGAGCTACAGTAAAAATGAATACATAAAACAGGCATTGTTAAACTAAAAGAATAACTACATAAAAGTGTGTCAATGTTTCTGAAAACAAAAAATTCCTTTTAAAAAAAACATCCATTCGCAAAACAAAAGAGTATAATGCATCAAAAAGGTTTTTTGTAATCTTCCAACACAACAAGTTTCAAATCATGAACATAAACAGATTTCAGAAGACACTACAAAGAGAGCATTAGAAAATTAATGGAGACGATAAAGAAGGTATAAGGTATAAGCCAACATTAGTCGTTACTTTTTGCATTGAAAAAAAAAAACCATCTCATCGCCTCAGAACTATTTTTTCCAAAGTGCCGCTTTAGTTAAGTACACTTTGGACAGAATTATAATTCTGAGGCGACGGTCTGTTCCCCAATCACCACCACAAGAGCAGTCCCCAGAGAAAGAGTTACTGCTACTGAAATTTCAGGGTTTGGTGAGCCCTTTTCGAAAAGCGTCAACATGGTGCTGTATTTTGTTAAACGATATTTGAATTTTTTAGAATTACATTTTCATCGAGTTGCGTTTTACGGTAATTCTCAACAAAGACCAGATGTCGCAATGCACAGATGAGGAAAATGGAAACTGTAATAGCTGAAAGCAGAAGAAACCATACCAAAGTGGCCACCGAACACCAGTCGGTGTGTGAGAACGATTTTAAATTCAGCAACCAAGAAAAAGTAAAGCATGATAGAGAGTTGTCAGTTTGATTTAGCGCTCTTAAAAAATGGATTTATTGTATGACTGTCTTCATTTTGAATGGCTCCACATGAGACAGAAAAGGAATTTTCCTGCTTCACAGACAGACCACTTCACTATGCCATTCATTAATCTTTGTGCTAATAAATAACAATAAATAAAGATAACATCTGTAAAAAATAAATAGACGCACCTCCAAAGCAACAACACCACCATCCCAAACAAACGACTTCCCACTTCTTACACAATAATTATGTGCCTGTCTTCTCAGCTTTGCAATAACAACTTTCTTTTTTAAAACTAAAAGACGCAGCTGGGAAATCAGTTAAGCCATTTAAAAAATTTGTAAGAACTCGAAATTTAGTTTGCATTACTAGAAAATTAATTAAAACAGCATCAATTCAACTTTCTAGCAGTACAGTGTTTTCGTTGAACAGTCAGGTTGGGTTTTTTTCCACCACCTTCAGTATACATTATAACACAGATAGGTCAAACACAGAAGAATCGAAATCACATTATATCCGACGAACTGTGCCTGAAGTCCCGTTTTCTCTTCTTTTTTATCTTTGTAAGAAAATCATGTGAAGCTTGAACACAAACACAGTATACTCAAACTAATTACGCCGCATTACAGGTCTACAGTCAATGTCCTTTGAGGTGTAGCCTACTTGAGACAAAATAATAACAATAACTTTTTTTTTTACGGAAAATGGCAAGATCAGTAAAATACCTCCTTTACCCCCTCCACAGAAGCAGCTAGCTGTGCTATCTTTAGCGCGTAGTTCGACAGGCGTGCCCAGCGTGCCTAAGCCCTAGGCCTAGCTAGGCTTGTGGGGAGCAGGTGAAAGGAAGGGTTGTGCATCACACAATCTATTGTTTTTGCCCCTAAGGTAGCATTCTTTGTTGCCTCCCTTGATTCTCTCACACAGCCGATGCCACAACACTGTTCACGTTTCCCTCGAACTACGGATCCCTCGAACTACAGATCCCTCAAACTACTGATCCCTCGAACTATCGAAGGCCGGTCCCCACGAATTCAAGCTATTCGTGTTATACTACATATCCTAAAATACTAATGGAACTTACCTAATATTAATATATAACTTAATATAAGGTCTTTGATTGTACGACTCTCAGAATGAGCGGTTAATTCCAGCCAAAACTATAAAACAATCCATATTTCTGTATTTATAATCTCATCCTTGCACTCATTTTAATAGTGAAATGAGGTAAATAATTTGCCTCTTTACAAAACTTCAAATAGCAGCAGCCGAAGTGACAAACTGCGCAAGTCCAAAACTACTGATTTCAAGGGAAACAGGGAGCAAGTGTAAGAATGTTAGAAAACAGATACAGAGCAGTCCACTAAAACCGAAATCTGCCAGACCGCCGGATTTTGTTTGGCTTAGCCGGGTTTTTAGTTTAGGGAGATTGCTGAAATATATATATATACAGATGGAAAAAAAAATTGGAGAAATTTATTTTCTTTCGGTTTACTGCTGTTTTCGGATAAGTGGACTCCACTGCCAGACCAATATATGTTTCGTAACAGCAACATACTGCATACTTTCCATTCCATAAACTCACATCACAATACTAAGACATGATGCAAGAGGATTTTCTAGTAATTTTTTCAGACAAAAATAAAACTTCACCTAATTTCAGACTGACAGGGTTTGCGACTTTTACCGCAAATATTTACATAAAAACAAAACAGACCAACCGTAGGAAGTTTGTCCTTTCCATATATCACAATGACAAAAGTTCAACAATACAGAGATGTAAGGTGCCTCAAACACTGTTGACCAAAGTTCAGATCAAGTCAAAACAGTCAACAGCTGTGAAGCTACATTTATGGCTCAAGAATTCAGTACTGGCCTTACGGATACAGACAAACATTTTGTCATTGCAGCTCACTATCCACATAAGGAACAAAATTTGAAAACTCAGGTCTAAGGTATTTGACCTAAGGAGAATCTTACAAATCAGCTCTCACATTTTCATTTGCATCAATAATTCATGACAACTTAAAAATAATTTGTAAAAATCAAGAGGCTAAAATCAGACTAACTAACAAAAAAGATTTTTTTTTTTCACATTTTATCGAAAGAATCTGAAAGCTCCATGTGTGAATAGTGAAATGCAATGACGATTTGCTACACAAGTACCAGTGCCTGAGTTTCCCTGCATTTCAGAGACAACCTTAGCACCACAAGTCCCTTAAGTTTTGGCCTTTCTCTATCAACATAACTCCTCCACTTGTCTTCCAACAGGCAGGTAAACGTTTGGCATCACTGCTACAAGATCTAACTTCTTGATTTCACGTATTAATTCCAAGGACCATTACTTCTCAATCTTTCTTCCCAAAATACAAAATTTTGGCTTAAATCAGTGAAAACACGACCTTCTCCTTTTTAGGCTTTCATTTTCCTAGAACAACATATTCTCCGTCCTCTTTACAACAAGTCAGACACAGTGACTACAAGGTCAAGGTCGGTATTCAGGTAAAAACTAGGTCCGCAACCAGTGACAGGTGGTCCGACGGGTAGGAAAACGAAGGCAAAAAACCGTCTCCCAGCTCCGCACCCGTAGGGAACTGCAGGAGCTTCACACACTTGCTGTTGTTCCTGGTGACAAAGACGTAGTCTATCGTGTGGCACGACTCTTCCATCGTCTCTCCGTGCTTCCCGCTGCGCACTTTCCACGTGGTGTACTCGGGCTCCGCACCGCTGGGAGACAACAGTGTGTAGGTGCTCATCAGCTGCAACTTGCTGGACTTAATCACCTGAATTACTTTCTCCTCCGGCTCGGCGTTGAAGTCTCCACAAAGTACAACAGGCTTCCCCTGTGCCTGCTTCATCAACTCCCGCTCTAAAAACTTGCCCTGTTGATATCTCAGCTCTGAGTAGCCTTTCTTTGACTTTAAGTGAGTCGCAACCACCAGGATATCTTTGCCCTTGGAGCTACCGTAAAGACCCCGAAGCCAGCACAACAGCGCCACCTGGTTGGTTTCTTTTTCCCGGTCATCTCGCAAGACAACATTCTCGTAAGATGTCAGAGAGAAGTGCGATTTTCGCCAGAATACAGCACAGCCATCTGGGCCACTGTTGTTCTCCTCGTAAAGACACGGGGAATCAGGTTTGGGACAGAACAGACCCTGGAATCCGAGCGGAGAGAGGTATTGAGAGATGAAGTCAAAATGATCCACTTCCTCGAGACAGAAGATGTCAGGGTCGTATGTAAGCAACTCCTCCATCACGTAGTTCTTCCGCCGACTCCAATCCAGGGCGGCGGGAGGGCACAGCACAAAGCTGTCACTACACAGGCACAAACCTAGCGCAGGGAAACAAAAACATATACATTTTTGATTTCATGGAAATAGTTTTCTCATTCACTATGATTAAATTGATCAGCATTTTATGGCACTTACAACATAATTAGGAAAATAGTCATATATAAATGCCACAGAACAGAGGTGTTACAAGAGAGTAACAAACACACAAAAGAAGGAGGAAAGAGATTTAAGGACGATAGATGTTTGTTGATAGGAAAGAAGGAGCAAACCACACCAGACCACCTGTCAAATCTTTTCACTCAAACGATTTACATTATATTTCAAGGTGACAGACCAACTTCAAGCCTGACAACAAAGCTTCTTGATGCTTAACCCTATCCGTACGTCATGCTTTCTATCATATCCATACGACGTGGGAAACTGTGTCACCACTTTCCAAAGAGGACATTTACTCGTTTATCCGATCTGTACACTTTGCATAGTAGTCTGTCAAAATGTTTTTTTGAGAAATACTGAAAGTTTCAAAGAGATCTTTGTCCTAAAAGTATTCTAAAATGTGAAGAATACAACCTCGGGGGTACAAAATGACCCAGGGTGTACGGATAGGGTTAAAGTGTTCGAGCCAACTTTCTTGTTTTCTGTTTAATCTTTTTTCTTTTTTTCACCATGCAAAATAGATGTAAGTGAACAGTACATTCTATGGCAAAGAGATATGTGTAACGGCACTGCGGAAACAGGTGCTCGTAAATATTTTGACACATGGAGTCATTGGTTTAACCTTATATAGCTTTTTGATTTGCCTTGCTTTTGGTGAAAGAATTACCCATCTATCTTGAATAAAAGTCGAGTTATTTGCATTTAAAGGAGGTAGGGGTTGACTGCAAGCAAAGGTAAAATTAGTGTGTAAAAGGCTGCCAAACTTTGGCAAGTTCCACAGCTTGAGAGACCTTGGAAACTGCAAATTTACATTTTTGTATCTCTGATCAAAGTTTTTCAGTGAAATCCACCCAAAGATGTGTTTTTAAATAGACAGAAACTATGTTGAGCTAAACAACAAAAATTCAATAACTATTGCCCAACTGGCGGTAAAAATGCCATTTTCTTTTATTTCATTATTTTGAGGACAGCCTGATTTCAACATGCAGTCTCACATATATTTTACTTTTCCAGTCTTAACTGCTTCAATTGGTCTTAAAATGTCAAATCAGGAAAGGCGTCTACAACAATCAACAAATCTGTCAGAAAATCAATCACACACCTGTACCTGAATACATATGCCTTGTGAGCTAATCAGTAAATAACATAGCACTAAACTAAACACCTACTGAGCTTAAACTGATTTCAAATATTAATCAATACTTGAACTTTATTCCAAGTGTATTTTCGTTAAAATTTCTTCAACAGTCTACTAATTTTCCATGATCTTTTATTAAGGAAATCAAAAAGCTTCAACCAATAAAGGCACAAATACAATGTTTGGTAGTACAGGAAAAACTTTGGACTTGTTAAAACAAAATTATTGAAAACAACTCATTCAAAGACACTATTATAAGTAAAATTTTTGCATTTAAAAAGAAAAGATATTCAAAATTAATTTGCTTTCCTTTTTATTTTTCCAGTGCCTAACAATTGATCCTTTTTTCTTAAAAGTAGCTCGATTTTGATAAAGGCATCCCATTCTGGTTTGTCCCTAGGCTGCCACACACAAAATGTATCTGTGAACAAGAAGTCAAACAGTGTATCCATGTATAGCACAGCTCTTCACTTGCCTGTCTTAGTGCATCAGGAAGAATTTAGTATACACATGTAATTTAGTTTAAAAATAAAAACCTTGGGCAAGGACATTCCACTGCATGATGCGAACTGCTCCCTCAGCCTTCTCCAGTGTAGGAGCTTCGGCAGTTTCTGTCTGACTAGATGTGGCTGCCCCATTGGTCACAGTGACAAATCTTCGAGTTAGTAAGGCCGGACCATCAAACGTCCGACTCTGCTCTTGTATCTCAGCTAGAACCTGCTGGCAATTTTTTGTCTCAGTCATACTGGCTCAAGCTGAAAAGCAAAAGAGTGGGCTAGCTTTTAAGAAGTCTGGAAAAAAAACAACAACAACACAGAGATTTTTCACACCTATCCAAGAAAGTTAGGTGTTCGATCTTACCCATCTAAAGATCAGGGGTGTTGCCGAAAGACAGCTGACAAAAAAATATAAGGAGTCAGGAGTAGTAGCAGTAGAAAAAGTGAGGAATAAGAGAGGAGCATAGACGGAGACGGGTGGGGGTGGGGGAGGGGTGGGAGAGTGAAGAGGAAGGCAGATGACAGAGCACAACTAACTTAACTAAGGAACAGAAAAGGAGGAAAAATGAGAAAATTTTGGAGTATAAAATATTTTCTTCTCTAGCATGTTTGATCCAGGGATCTTTATTTTAACTGAGAGACAGACAAACCCTGTACCTCTTAGACCATGACAGCCAACAGAATGGGTCACGGTAACAGAATTAGGTATTTATCAACCAACATCAGATTTCCTTTTCTGACAGAAGAAATAAATAATAGGCTGAATGGAAGAACAACAGGAGCTACCAATATTTACAAAGAAAAGTTTCAGTCTTTCCCTGTATAGAGTGAAGAGTTCAAGAGGAACTGAGTACCTTACTTTAATGATGATGTCAAGCCCTATAGTGTATAATTTGATTTTGGGTTTTCCCCATGTTGTTAATTCAAGTAGGCTAGTATTAAAGTATATATGTAAGCAATGATTTACCTTGTTGTGTGCCTTTGCTTTCCCTTTTCAGCTGTCCGTTGTTCAGTTGTCAGTTTTAAGATTCCTAAAAGAAGCAGACATACAGACACTCGAATCAGCAAAAGTGGAAACTACCACTATTATATCATAAAATACTAAGCCCTACCAACTGTATCAATCTAATGAATAATTACATCATTATAAGAATAAATCTCCATAGAGAGATCTTCTAGAATGGAGATCTTGATCTGAGTAGAAAGTAATGACGAAGACTTACATCTGATCTTTTTCAAGTAATTCCTGCGATCTTCATCTGATCAAAAAGTATTTTGACTTAGATTCTTTATTTAGGGAATAAAATAATTAGTTTAAATTTATAGTAATTGTAAGGGTAAGGTATCAGCTTAGAAGTTAGATGTTTATATAAAAGTACCAGCAACAACCAACTGATGATGGAGACAATCAACCTGCCCACACTGAAATGGACCCTTATGAAGAGAGGCGAGGAAGTGTGGAGCACCCCGTCTTCCTAAGACCCCAGTTTTTCATTCAAGTAATTAACCCTCTATCCGTATGTCCTGGGGTAATTTTGTACCCCTGGGGTTGTATTCTTCACATTTTAGAATACTTCAGGTACGAAGATTTCTTTGAAACTTTCAGTATTTCTCAAAAAATGATTTTGACAGACTGCTATGCAAAGCGTACGGATCGAATTAATGAGTAAATTCCTCTCTATGGAAAGTGGTGGCACAGAATTCCCCACATGGTACGGATACAATGATAGTAAAACACGACGTACGGATAGGGTTACATAAAAGTAATGTAGTACAGTGGAAACCATATATAACAGGCCCGGTAATAACAGGGATCCGGTAATAACAGGGATTTTTAAAATCCCCGTTTTTTTCTACTCTTTGTCTCTATTAAAAGTTATCGGCTATAACAGGGCCTCATTGGAGCCCAACCGGTTATAGCAGGGACAAAGGCTCGTTAACAATGTGTAAAAAGTAAGAGAGAGAGAGAGATAGAGTGACGCAGTGATGGAGCAAGCCCATGCAAGGCATGCCACTGCGAGCTCACGCAGCGTGTGAAGCAAGAGAGGGCTGCGGTGTGCAGCAGACCTCGATCAAGCCCGAAACCTAGCAACACGCACGCGTAATGTGTCACCATCGATGTCAAGCGCAAGAGCAAATGCCTTTCAATTGGCAAAAAATACGAAATATTCCAGGCTGTTGACAAAAAGTCAAGCTACACTGGCAGAGATTCGTCGTCAGTTCGACATTCCACAAGGGTTGATTCACACCATTATCAAGGATAGAGAGAAGATACTCCAATGGAAAGTTTGCTCTGGATCGAAAGAAGATGAGACTAGCCGAAGCAGATGCTGTGGACCAAGCTTTTCTGATGTGGTTTAGGTTTAAGGAGGCAAGGAGAAAGTTGGTGCCAAAACCCCTGTTCGTGGGTACTTGTGGCAAGGGCAACTACCCATGAATAAGTACTGCTGGATTAATCCACAAATGCTTACTTTCCTTGCATTTCTGATTTAACAGGGATCGGATATAACAGGACATTTTCTCTACTCCCACCATCCCTGTTATATCAGGTTTCCACTGTATTTAATTAAAGAATAGCAGATAATTTAACTTGTTTAGATTGTGCAAGTTGTGTAGAGTGTAGGCTATCCGGTAGTACAGTAACAATTAGCAGGCTAATAGTTGGCTTAACTTTTGTAACATTCATTCATAGGCAATTGTTCAGATTCCCGCGTTTAATTCCGGTTTGTGTTTTTCATAGCCTCAGGCAAGTTTTGCTTTGGTCCCAAGGCCTAACCCTAACCCTAACGCAAATCAGAATTAAAAACGGGAATCAACGATCGCCCATTTATAATGTCATTTTCTCCGGCCTGGGGCCAGATTCTCTTTTGAGCAAGTAGTAAGTTTAGGGCCACCTCTATTCTCACTCAGAGTGAGAACAGTGCAGGCGAGTCTTGTGGCTATTCTCACCCAGTGCACGTTCACCAAATTTTGCGTTCACCCTAAACCACAGAATTCTACACTGTGATAACAGAAAAATTGTAGAATTCTGTGCCGTGAACAAACGTTCCTTTACAACTGTAGCCTACTAAAAGCGTACAATTTTGTCTGTGGGCAGTGGAGAGAGATAGAGAAAGAGAGAGCCTAGCGCGAGAATTTCCGGGCAAAGCAAAATGGCGACCCGCGTAGTTTGGCTCGATTCGAAAAGTTAAATAGCCGTAGCATCTTTGTAGACAACCAAATTAATTTACTTTTGTGTTTTAACATCATTTTTTAACTTTGTTTTGGTCAATTTGATCGTCCACACCGATAGACAGTATTCAGAAAGAGACAGAGAGAGAGAGAAGAGGGGAGGAGTTGATCTTGCGAGAACTTCCGGGCGGGTGAGAATAGCCACTTTCTAAGTTTAGTACTACAGTATCGGTAATATTGGCAATAACAAAGTAATAACAATGACATAAAAATAAGTCAATATATCAACAATCAACATAATAACATAGACGTCTAGATTCTAGATCGGTAGCCTCTAGGTCTCTAGACTAGATCTAGATTCTAGACATAAAATTTGTATTGAAAGTGAAAGACACCAGTTTCCACCGGCACAAAAAAAAACAGAAGGCCCAACTGATACAGGAAAACAGCTATCAACTGCTTACTGTGGGTGTGAATAAAGTAATGGGAGTACGATGAAATGAGAAACAGCTCTAGATTCTAAACATCAGACAGTTTGAAACAGTCATACTTCGAGTTCGAGGGAAAACGGCTCAGATACCGGGTCTACGTTAGTTCATCGATGCACCTTCTCTTCAACTTCAAGTTCAGCGTTACGGGAACATCCGGTGTTGTCTTCCAAACGACCCTGACATTCACCCTTTGTTGCTATCCTGGACGGTGACCAAGCAGTTTTAGAACCCGGGATTGTTTTGCGTAGGCTACCCTTTCCCTTCCTGTAATCAGTCTCGACTCGTCTTCCAACGGGGGTGGGGGGGCACAGAGGAGAGACAGAGAGAGAGATATAGATAGAAAGAGGGGGGGGGGTTGTATGGTTAAAAACAGCATATTAATTTCATTGATAACTCCCCCATTTAATACTATAATTCATTTTCAGTTTCAGGTATTCGGCTCCTCAACAAGACACAGGAGAAGAGAAATACGGAGAGCGAAAAAGATTTTGAGGGGTGGGGGGTCAAACTAGATCTACATGGCTTGCGGTTTTTGCATTTCAAGACGAGATTTTTTTAAAAATAGATGAAAACATTGAATAAAGGTTAAGAATATTAAGATGATTCTAGCTTCTGCTATGGCCAATTAGAATTACCTTAATCTTGCAGACGAATAAGGGCTTGCCCCATTAATTTTGAGCATCTAAAAAATGTCATTTCCACTCGTAGAGAGGAGAGGTGTGCGACTTGCGCGGTTCTCGCGGCATTTTTAGTTCAAGAAGTAAAGAATTGCTGCCCTGTGCTCTCCAACTGGGGTTTTCAGAAGCTGGGCTCTCTATAGTATCAGTATGGTGGCGAATGTTGGGAACTTTCAGATAGATTTTTCAGAATTTTCAGAGTGTCTTTGTATTGTAGCGCTCCGGTAGATAGATAGATAGATAGATAGATAGATAATATTAGAATGGATGGATTGATGGATGGATAGATGGATGGATAGGTGAAGCGGGGAAACTTGTTATCTATGCTATACATATACAGACATACCCGTTACATTGTTATTAATGGCGGTAATGGGGAACTGGCGAACTTATAACGGGGTAATCTGATACTAGATCTACTACATGTACACACAAAAATTAAATACATATGTACAATTACAATGTAGCACGGATGTGGTCTGACGCGGATCTGGCACTTCATCGACAAGGGAAATGATCCTGGGTGAAGGACAAATATCAAAAGGAGTGGCTGTTGGTTTTACTGCCTGTGTCAAACTGTAGAGAAATGGAGAACGATTTTCTGTTGCGACTTTGAAGGCCCTGCTTCAAAACATAAACCTATTCATTTTAGACATAATATAATGTATTATTACGAAAAAAAATTTGTGACGTCCCGTTGTTGAAGCACCGAGTAGACTTCTACACACATGTACTTATTATCATCGGTGTTGGGTTCTCTCATATTTACACAACAAAATTTGTACAATAGTGTGTTAAAAAAATCGTGGCGCAAATATCCTCAAATATCTCTTTTTAATGTGAATCAGTGTCACCCATACGTTGCACAGCAGTTTGTATCAATTTGTCTTAGCTTAATCACATTTTCCACAACAACTGAGGCTCGAATAAAAAACTTTTCTTTGTAAATTTATAAAATACAATAAATATCCATCACGCGGATAATATGATTATTCACTTCACAGCACTTCCCGTTTGAAGCCCGTTTCTCGCACACATTTTACGCATATATACATGTATTATAAATGGCCTACGTCACAACTCGCCAGTGACACTTTTTTGTGGCAAAACTTCTCACAAGAAATTAATAATTTTATAGTGGACACATTTTTTGCACCATTGGTTCCATAAACATACATGTTACTATTGTTACGTTAGAGGATAAGCATAATGTTGCGATTAGAAAGAAAAAAAAAAGACTTGCTTTTGAAAGTAAAAGATATTGTCTGCTCTGAGCTGTAATTTTAAAAAAATCTAGATCTAGATTTTTAGATCTAGATCTAGTCTGTAGAAACCATCGACTGGGATTTTTTTAAATTAGTTAAGTCAGAGTGGTCAAAAATTCGTGGCGCTACTTATTGTCAAATGTCTCCTCAACTTCTATCGAAAATAAACTCTCCAGCTTTTGCAAAGTGACTTGTATCAATGTGTCTTTTTAACAGATCAATATTTTTTTGTAAACACCTGCAGCTCTATTCTAGAAAATTCCTTAATAACATGATACCAAGTATAGGTCTAATGTACATGGTATAGTAGTATAGATAGTACGGGGGCTCTCGTGACCTAGAGGTTAAGGTGTTATCCTCGTATCCAAAGGTTCCGAGTTCGAATCCGGGTAGTGACCGAAAAATGTTCTCTAAAATTGTCTCCTTTCCTGCTCTCTAACAATGGTCTGTCTGCTTTCGTCTCCTCTTTCTGCCCCCACCTCCTTTACTTTGCCTCCTCCTCTGGGCTCCTGACTCTTTCTGCTCTGCAGTCTGCAGCCTTTCTACGGCCAAAGATAGTATTAGTACAGCCTACGTAGGGTGTAGCATCTTTGCTACTGCTCCTCTTTGGCTCCTTAAACTTAAACTGCTGTCTTGCACTTCAGCCACACCCCTGATCTTCTACATTTGTAGTAGGAAAGATCTAGATCTAGGCTTCTCCTCGGACTAAAAAGAGTGAAAAATCTCGGAGGTCTCAAATGCAAATTGCGCACTTAATGAATAGGATCCATTGACCATAGGTCAAGTCTAAAATCGAATATAATACATGTAATGCACGTAACACAATGTAAACATATAAGATATAATGCAAGTCTAATTTTTTTTTAAATGTTGTTTTTTTTGGGGTTTTTTTTTGGGGGGGGGGGAGTACGGCAAGTCTGTCCCCGTCGTTTTAGTTTTAGTTTTATGCCAAAAAAAAATTCTGAAGTCATGCAAACTGAGCCCAAAAGTGTGAAATTATGCAATTCTGCTAATTGTAGCAAAGAAGGATAAAAGAAAATAATCAGAAATTATGAGAAAAAAAAAGATTAAAATTTGCTTAATTATGCGGGGTGCATAAAACCACGGGGACAGGTTAGTGTTTTACGGCGCCCACAACTGCTTAAGGTCATATGAGCGCGCGGAATATTGAACTTTTTCTGTTGAGGTCGTGCATTCATGCAGTAGTGAATTTTCGGGTGGCGGCCGAAGCCTACTCTTTATCGATTTTAGACCAAGGGATCTATCATCTTTAACTTTAACGTGCACAATTTGTACACGAGCCCTCTGCTGAGATTTTTTGTCCTTCTCCGAGATAGGAGAAGGGAGGAGGTGAAGGTGAAAACTGAAAGGAGACAATTTTAAAAGAAAATGTTACCCGTTGATACCCGGAGGGGCCTCTTTGAATGAGCGAGAAGACTCAAAATAATGTAGGCTACAAGACAAGTAGGCTACTGTACAACGAGAGCCCCCTCCTGCAACTCGGCTCAACTGTACAAAGTTCCGGAAATACATGTAGATCTAGTTCACAAGAGTGAAAAAGTTAAAGAATTAGAAAGAAAAGGACGATATAAAGTAGCCTACATACTACATGCATATCATGTACATGTAGTAGTAGGGATGGAAGGAAAGAAAAAGCAGCAGTCCCCCATACATGCCCCGGAAGTTATGGAGCACTGGTGACCACTGCACTGTAACCAGTACTAGTAGTACATGTATTGTGCAAGTGTGCAAGCAGAAGCATGAACAGGCACGATGCATAGCACTATGGTCTACATGCAACCAGTTACATGTACTAGATTAGTTACATCTATATAGAGGACAACGTACAAAGAAGAGAAAATAAGTACGAAGGCATATGTGTATAGATTAGAATTAGAGAAGGCAGTCAGAATAGATCAAGATCTGGAGCAGCATCGAAATTTGGTTTTAACTTCGATCGAAGATTCAATCATCTTGACAAATGGGGTGGTCCTGAAAAGGACCGTATTGTGATGTGGCTGGATTTGAAAAACCAGCTCTTACTTTTTGGCAGCGGCCTTCTTGGGCTTGGCAGCGGCCTTCTTGGCAGCTGGCTTTTTGGCAGCGGTTTTGGGCTTGGCGGCTTTCTTGGCAGGGCTCTTGGCCTTCTTGGGCTTGGCAGCAGGTTTTTTAGCAGCAGGTTTCTTGGCGGCAGCCTTCTTGGGAGATTTTGGTTTCTTGGCTGCGGCTTTCTTGGGCTTTGCTGCCTTCTTGGGAGACTTGGGTTTCTTGGCAACTTTCTTAGCAGGTTTTTTCTCTACTTTCTTCTCTCCCAAACGGAAAGAGCCAGCAGCGCCAGTTCCCTTGGCTTGCTTCAGGGTTCCAGACTTGACGCCGGCCCTGAGGGCAGTCTTGAGACGAGCGTTGATGGCAGTGGGGTTATCTCCGACCTTGAAGTTGGCCATGATATACTTCAGGATGGCCTGGCGGGAAGAGCCACCGCGCTCCTTCAGTGCAGAGATGGCGGCAGCGACCATCACCTTGTACTGAGGGTGGGCTGCGGGGGCTTTAGGCTTGGCGGGAGCCTTCTTCTTGGGGGTAGCCTTGGCTGGGGCAGCAGCGGGAGCGTCAGACATTGTGGAGGATAAAATTGCGAACTAGCGACGAGCGAAGCAAACGAATTTATAACGAGAGAAGACTTGTCTCTTCGTAACGATGTGTTGAATGACGAATTTCGGCAAGAGCCCCAGTATATAACCACTTCGCGCGGACGTCCGAGAGAGCATCTACGTCACAGCGTATTTTTTTGGCTGCGGCGATGTCGGCTATTTCGTTTGATCTGCGAATCTGTGCAAGAACATGTAGATCTTCGGGCTACAAATAAATGCAGTTAACTGAATTGTTAGTTTCTAGCCATTCAGGCCTAGGTAAATGGTTAATCAAGGTATTGTTGCTCCTTTTTTTGGAGATGATGAAACGCACGGTGCGAAAATCAAATTTTTCTATTGTTAAAACATGCGCTCACTCCCACATCGACATCACTTAAAATTAAAACATATGCATTTATAAGATATGCATCGCTCCCATTTTTACTTCCTAAGACAGAAAACTTAATTTTGCTGACTTTCTCAGAGAGTATATTTCTTTGTATTCTGTAGAAACATAGTTTTTCTATGGTTTTGCCCCGTGTAGCTGCACACTTCTTACAACATCGTCAAATTACAACCATGGAAATTGGACAATTTCACAGAGATAATTGATAGAAACCGACCCTTTATTATAATTATCGTAAGTTATAATGATGGGCTTGCGTTTTACGTTATCATCCTTTCAGAAAACCAGAAATGCCAGTAAATATTAACCTTTTTACGAGAGCTAGCTCGTCGACAATCATCCGACGTTTGTCAAAAATGGCCGCGGCGGAGAGCTGTCTGTGTCACTCGTTCTTTCAGCGTTTCAAAGGATTTAACCTTATCAGGTCACTCTTTCAACCCTGAGATCTAGTGCAATTTGCTTTAAAAAAGTGCAAAGATAAAGAATACTTTAAGAGAAGAGATCCATCGTAAAGACCAAGCACAAAAACAAGTCAAATGCTTAAGTCGAATCGGGGTCATTCTCGTTCAAACAGACCGCGATCTCGACAGCGAACCGATACAACATTGTTACAAATAAATAGATGATCTACAAAAGAATGTCATGGTCAAAGAACTGTGAGTCTATTGCGAAATGGGAAAAGGGGGGGGGGGGTCGGAATCTTTCCTTGACAGCACTGCTGCAGAGACTTGACTCCGTTTTCTAATCAGATGATTTAGCTTTACTCTGTTTATGCTTTGCCACTGATCGTCTATAAATAGCTTTTGGGGTTCTCATGAGGTCTCCATTACTTCAAAGTGTTTTTATTTTTCTATTTATTAGTTTTAGTCACTGTTTTGCTATTTTTCTAGCTTCATATTTGGAAAGAAAGGGGTGGGGGTTGCCTTCCTGCTAGATCTATGTTGCATTTCCAATTTTTTATTCCTTTTTGCTGTCTGTCTGTTTTATAAAATTCAGTGGCTGCTCGATAATCTTTTCCCCCATAGTTTGTTTTCAGTTTCAGGCGATCGAGTCGGGCGATCGGCCCGATCCAGCTGTAGTGGGCACCCCGTATTACATCGTACGTGTAAGTTACAAGCGTCGAATAAAAACACGTTCAAGAGTTGGAGAGTAATTTTCGAGACTCATGTGGAGCACGTGAGAGAGAGAGAGAGAGAGAGAATGTGTGTGTGTGTGTGTGTGTCAGTGTGTGTGTGTGTGTGTGTGTGTGTAAGCGTGGGGGTGAGATCTAAAATCTTACACTGAAATGTGAGGTATGGGCTTGTTTGGGTTTTTTTGTGTCGCTCTCTCAAAATGAGCAATTTGAAGGCAAGGTTGGATCTACTGTAAGTCATTACATTGTATTTTAGTGCTACATACCGTGTATAGGCCTACGTCCAAAGAGTGGGTTTTAAAGCACCCTAAGGGAAACACGCTTTCCTTACTGGATCAAGATTTTTTTAAAATAAACTTTTTTGTTTGGTCGCTGGCCTGCAGATTAAGTGCTATGCACAGTTTCGTGGGCATATATCTAGATGAAATCAATAAATGAGCTAGGCTAGAATTTTCTTAGCGCGGATAGACGAGAGTGAACAAGCTAGATCTATGGCGTTTCTCGCCAATGTAATTTGCTCCTCGTTTGCTGTTATTTTTTAAAAATATTTTGGCTTTGGCCAATATTTTTTAAATGGAATATTATGTGTTAAAGTTGCTTGGAGAAACTCCAAAAGAACTGCGCCGCCTCGGCCTGCAGGCAATAATATCGTAGGGCGAAAACATAGACAACGCCGATTTCGGAGACTGACTCAGTAAGCGCCGATAGGTATAAAAATCCCCTTATGATTTCCAACTTGCCCCACATAGAGCTGGCAGACTGCAGGTGGCATTAAGCTCGGATCGGTGTTTTCGACTTTTATCGGAATCCAAACTACATTCTTATTATACGTCGAAAAACTGGGAAGGGCGTCTTTCTGTCAACTCGCGACCTCAGTTCTTTCTTGTCCTATCTCCTTTTTTTAACAGTAAAAATGTGACTTCTTCTTAAGCTCACTCTTTGTTGTGAACTTCTGTCACTGTTATTAAAAATGGAGATGCGACAAGAAAGCACTGAGGTCGCGAACTCATGCCGTCTCGCCGTCGCCAACTCGGGTTGAGCGGTTTGCGTGACGTCACCCGACTGGACAGGGGGCAATTTTAAATGATCATTACAGAGCTGGTGCCTCGCGGTAGACAAAAACTAATTACATTTTTTAAATCAGCGTCGTCAAATTAGGGTGGCTCCAGAGCAGAATTACATTTTAAACAATATTTTAGGAATTTCGATTTTTTTAAAAATCACCAAATAAATGCTTCATTTCCAGCTGTGGTGTGGTGTATTTTTTTTCTTTCTTATATCAAGATTTAGTCTTTAGGCGCCCTCTATGTGGAGTCAAGAAGACGCAGCTACTGGCGCCTGTCCGCGTCGATCTTCAGCCGCTTAAGTGTTGGCTTTCTCTATGTTATCGCCCTTATAAGTTATTTGGCGTTGACGGTGAACACCATATTTATTATTATGGTGAGGACTCACGCTCAAGCCTCCATCAACTACGTGACAGGTCTAATTAGGCGGTCTGGGCACTCACGAGAACACGTATCTGGTAAAAAGAGCAACATGATCTAGTATACAGTAGAATGACTATAGCGGCACCGGCTGCCGCTGTACCTTGCCGTGATCCCCTTTGTGTCTATGTTACTCTAAATTCTAAACTCAATTGACTGTGATTGCTTGGGTTTAACGGAACAAGGAAAGACCCGAACTCGGATACAGCGGGAGAGATCGAGCGCGAGCTGTAGGCCAAGCTAGCTGAGGAAAAGGGTTTGGGGTGGGGCTGTAGGTGGGCTGGGCTCCAAACAGGCAGCCAGTGGTGCACATTGTGATTGGCCAGTCCAGTGATCAGTGAGGTGGGGCAGAAAGAGAGAGAGAGAGAGAGAGAGAGAGAGAGAGAGAGAGAGAGAGAGAGAGAGAGAGAGAGAGAGGGGGGGGGGAGGGGAAACTGTAAACCTCTTTGGGTCACAGAACACGTTACGTGAGCCACTCCAAAAGGGATGTGCCATGATAGCCCTATAATAGGTCCTACCCACCCAGCGAGTGATGTAAGTTCAGGTGGCGAGCTCAGATGCGAGTGCGATGTTAGGGGAAAAGAAAAGCATCGGTCAGTTCACACCTCGGTGTGATCCCGTCTGGGGATCATTGTACCGTTTCAGGGAGTTTTACAACGCTTGTGATCTATACGTTCTTACTCTGACTAGCTTGTGATCACATTCACGAGAGTGGCTGATCTTTGACGCGACGGGCAGTTCTTTGATCTCAACTTTTAACTCTTGGTTGATCGGCTGTGCCTGCCCGGGTGTTTGTTCCGTAAATTATTATAAGAAATGCCGGCACTTAAAATTACTCTTTCATTAAGCTTCAAAAGTACTCAAAATCAAAATGTAGCCTACTTAAAAAATACTCAAAAGTATTTTTATAAAAAGTATCGGAGTGCAGTTATTGGTTCTCAAAACGTACCGGAGTACAGTAAAAGTATAAAAGTACCGAAAATTGTAATGTAAGTTAAAGTACAAGTACTCCGTTACAACCAGCTCTGATAATGATCATCTAGTGATGGGAAAAAGCAAGGCAGACAGACAGACAGACAGAGAAATAACAGGGAAAGTAAAGTAGGATCTACCAGGGGCACCCTCCAACCACCCACACAGATGGTGATAAAAGTTCACAACTCAACACACGTTGTGACGTTTGACAACTCCAGGGCAGAAAAATGAAAACTACTGGGATCTGAGAAAATATCTCGAAAGCAACATTTGGATTCTAGATTATATGACTATCTAAGCTAAAAAAGAAGTTTCTCTGCAGAGATTCGAACACACGAGGCCAGTTCCACTGAGACAGAGAAGTGACTGGACTAACACAGGAAGTACACTCCTTCTTGACAGGTAAGTCTACAGCTGTGAAAGAAATAATTTCTTTCATAAAAAGAAGTCTGATATCAACCTTAGAGTTGAAATTGGGTTTCAACATGGTGGAAATTTCTGCAAACTGCTGGGGAACCTTTTCTCTTGAGAGTCTCGTCATATTTCCAATGGCCCTTTACTCAAACTTGATAATGTAGGCTATAATATAATTTTGTTTTGGTAAGTGTGTCTTAAAGAGCGCGCGGGACATATCAAATATCAAACATTTTCCGTTTGGTAGGAATTAATTTTGAATTTTTCCAGGGTAGCGGCCGAAGCCTACTGTACTCTTCTTACCGATTTTGAACCACCAATGGATCTTTAACGTGCGCAACTTGCACATACAAACTCCAAGATTTTTTTACCCTAATCCGAGAAGGCTAGGTGTTAGAAATGTTAGATCTTATCTACCGTACCCTAAGATCAGGGGTGTGGGGCTGAGAAACAGCAGTAAGGAGCCAAGGAGTAGCAGTAGAAAGGCTGCAAAGCGGAAGGAGAGATTATGGTGGTAGAAAGTGGAGACGAAAGTGAACGACAGAACATGGTTAGAGATTAAGAGAACATTTTAGAGAGGAAAATTTTCCATCGCTGTTAGGTTTCGAACCCAGGACCTATTGAATGAGAGGCTTACACCATAACCTCTAGTCTAGACCACGAGGGCTCCTTTGTTGATATGTCTGGGAGAAAATCTTGGCTCATGAAATTCACATTTAATTAACTCAAAACTCCACGGGAGCCTGGAGGACCCGAGGTGAACAGCAGCCTTCACACTAGAGACTGAGTGGGATGTCCATTTTGAGATGAACAAAAAGAAGCTTCATTAAGGTCTTTAGTTTAATCATGCTATTCGAATACTGTGTGAACGGAATCATGTCCATTTTCGCTTTCAGAGATGAACGAGAAGAAAAAGTGTCGACAGTAAGTTACTGAGCAAGAGAACCTTCTGTTTTGGCAGTGACTACCAAAAAACACAAGCACAGCTAGTCAACACAAACAATCAGACAGTTTCGAGTGAAAATAAAAAACACCAAGCAGAAACTCATTTTATAAATCAAGACAAAATCACGCAATCTTTATTCATTTGTAAATCATCATCAATCAACAAATATGTACACATGATAAATGAAAACAAAAATAATGATAATATGCATACAAAATGCACCCAAAACTCAAATTTCATTAGATTCATCATGTTCCTTTTTTTTTAAACCAGCGGGGACGCTGGAATTGGAATTTTTGTGAATGTGAGTGTGTGTGTGTGTATACAGATCTCAGTGTGTGACATGCTTTAAATTTTATTACAATATATATGTACAACAAAAGAGTTAAGTAAACAAACTAAAAACTTGTTCTGTTTGGCAGAATGGAACTCACTAAGTCTGTAGGCTTACCTCATTTATTTTCCCTAAATCTCTCACTTTGATATAACTAAAACAAGATTCACATGCCTACCTATTTCATTTTATCTAAATCTTTATCATGATACAATTATAATTAGATTCATATATGCTGCCTGGAGATAACTTTTGTAACATAGACCACTTTAACAAACATTTACATCATGTTAAGAGTTACATGTCGTCTCACTTTCTGTTATAATGAAAAGCTAGAAAAAGTACTCAATACAGAGGGCCTTTCTATAAATTTGTATGTCAAACTCAAAACCTTTTTTCAAAAGACTCCTGCATAGAGACAACTTGCTGTTTCCCAGGAAGAGAATGAGAAATTATAAATTGTTACTACACTGTCAGCAAGTAAGGCAGACATGCATTTTCTTTTCTTTTTTTTTTGGGCCATACCTCGAAGAAGAAAAAGTATTGGGGAACTTTGACTTTGAGAAATCAAAACTTAGTACAAAAGCTTGCTGTGCCAGTCAAGAAAACTACCCATATATATACTATATACCTCTAGACTCCAGGGTACAAAACCAAAGATTTAAAATAAAGTGGAGTTCCGCTAAAACCCAAACCTGCAGGACTGCCAGATTTTCTTTGGTTTAGCCAGGTTTTGGTAAAGAAAGATTGCTCAAATATAAATATTTAAAAATCCCATTTATTCCTCTTTGATTCACCCCTGTTTTTGGATAAACCACATTTTGGTTTAAGCAGACTCCATTGTCGGTCTACATATAATATACATACATAAAACTATCCCTTCTCCTATTATAATAAAAACAGGTGGAGAAAGAAGAACCTGGCCAAATCAAACTTGTAAACACATACATGATCATGAATTTGCAATAAGAGGCAAATAACAACTGTTATTTTAGGAAGGGAAAGACTGCACACTGGCAAAGCAATTCACCGTTTTCAGCAAAATGGTAACCTTCATACTAAACAAGATTTTTTCTTTCTTTCTAAAATGTAAGTGCTTTTAACACCCCAACAGACACAATTTTAGAAAGATAATTCAGGAAGCGAACTTCAATCATGCTTGATGGGGCCAACACGAGAGGACTTCAACATTCGTGCAGCTACTCAAAAAGAAATCTTTCCCACTCGGGAATCAAACTCAGGTCTCCTGTGTGCAAAAGAGAAGCACCTAAGCGCTACACCACAGACGCCGGAAAACAAAATTCTGTAGCTTGAACATTAGTAGGCTTCATGTTTTACAAAATGAATGAGATTTCCTTATCATTTCTAAAAGATAAAATATATGTGAGAAAACGAAGAAAACGAAAGATATTATATCTAATCACTGCTTGTAGTCTGATTACATCATCAAATCACGGTAAATTAATTATGCTTTAATTTCATGTACAAAAAAAATGAAATGTTCGACTGGGCTTCTTCAGCAAGGAAGTTGAAAGATACAAAAAGAGAAACAGCAGCTAAACACTACAAAACAGCTTCCAACAACTTCAAAGCACCATCATCTCCACACACCACACACCAACAAGCGCGTTATTGATTCTTCCACAAAGCAGCATCACATTAAAAATCACTGATACATAAAGCTAGTACTGATTTGAGGAGAAAAACCCCTTGTTTCAAGCAAAAAACAATGACATCTTATGGTCTGGGCCTACCCGCTTTCATCTGTCTGTACTGATAAGCCTGAGACCTGCCCCTGTATGTAGCAAGACCCACTTTCATGAAACTAGCAAGACCAAAAGCGCCAAGCAAAACGGCAGCAATGATGGACGATGCATTTTTGGGATCCCAGTTCTTGGCAATAATTGCAGACAGCGCCCATGTGACAACAAGGTATGGTGTGACAGAGTAGCGAGTGTAGCGCTCGAGGACAGTTATGTCCAAGCCCACATAGACCACAGCAATGACTGCCAGGATGCCTAGGCAGATGATCGATGCGTTCTCATTACTGATGGGTCGGCTCCACTTGTAGACCAACACAACCCCCAGGTTAATCAAGGTGGCGATTGTCGTCCAGGTCGCGTACATGGAAACACCGTTGACAACAGCCACTTGAAGGAAAGAAACTTCACAACCACGTCCATTATCAATCAAATTCTCTCTATACAAAACCACTCTGTTTGCGGCGATGGTCACCGTTAGGTAAAGAGAGACAGCGATACAGGCGAGGAAGATGAAAGAGGCCAGGAAAAGAAGCTGGTCCCAGAGGAAAAGCCAGCTGATGTTGAAGGCAGAACTCAAACTGAAGAAAATGAAGAAGGCAGGAGACAAGACCATCGGGTTGAGGTAGGCAGGTCCCTCCGGCGTCTGGCGGCAGATTAGTGCCAGGCTGTACAGGATCCACGAGAGCTGCAGAAGGTAGATGACTCCCCAGATGGAGAATGCCCAGCCAGCTGGCGTGATGTTGAGGGGATACATGGAAGAGACACCGCTGATGCTGTGATTGAACAGGCCTGCAAGGGGAACAAAAAATATGACACTTCACAATACATTTATACATGACATATAAAACCAACTTGTCGAAATGGCCACATAAAGTCGAAGACAAAATGGTTGTCTTAGACAGAGGGATATCTTGGACAGTTTTGTATATAAGTTATAACAATTAAGTTTAAAAAACAAAACAAAAAAAAACAAACAAGGGAGAAAGGGGAAAGTGGCCGTTGGCACAAATAACAAGTACAAATTACCATGAAAAAAACCTTTTTGATGGAGATGATATATTCTTGATACATTTTAATTTTAAAACTATATTCTAAAAGACTTCTGCACCTTCCAATGAGTTTTATTGAAGGTCCTCACATGTCATTCACACAATACACAATCTCTCAAATGCCATCCTTTTGAACATTTAAGTTGGGCTTGGCTAGCAACAAATTATTTCCCTATTGTTATAATTGAAATCAAACCATCTTTGCCATGGAAAATATCCTGACATTTTTTTTTGGGTTCTCAGAAGAGACCTTAGGCCCCTTAAAATTTTTTAAAGTACATAATTGAGCTATCCATTGTCTTCCTTGTCAACTTGTAAAATCACAAACCATATTTATTTTAGGGAAAATCAAGCCACCCCCCCCCCTCCCATAAACACATGTGTGTCTATATTTCAAAAGTTCTTGTTCTAACAATCTTTTACCCTTGATACTTGTCATGAAGAAATCCCCTAAAATACAATCATATACTATGTTTTACAAAATGGGGTGGCTTTAATGAATTACAAATGCTAAGCAAAGAGACAAGAGTGAGCCTGCAAGCTGCGCACATCTCATGCAAAGCCACAAAAGTCATCTGAAACATTTGAACTTTTACTTTTCACGTTTATTGCGAAAAATTCTCCTCTGCACATTCATTCATCATTGTCAGACATTAATGGACAAACGATTAAATAATGGTATGGGCAAGTTATTTATTTCTCCTTCTGCAGAGTTGTGACTATCGGGTTGCACTAATAGTACTATCATGACAAACCTTGCAGGCTTCCGCATGAACAAGATTTAGAACCCCCCCCCCCCCCCACCCCTAGCTTGGCAAATATGGTAATGGTGCCTCCCCACGCTTCCAGTTGGTAAATTACTAACAGTTACTTTATTTTAGAGAACAGAAAACACTTTCACAATTCACATACCATGGCTCATATTTGGACTAGCAGACAGGAAATTCAGGAACAGCAGCGACGCAAACAGCAGAGCTGTCCCAATGATTAGCATAGCAAACACAGGTCTGTTCTCCAAAGTGCGCTCCACCACCTGGGCAGACTTCACAGCCTTCTGGCCGAGGGTCATCTTTGGCACGGTCATCCTCTCAGTCAGTGAAGTCAAAGGAGTCCTGTGTATAGAGTTGAGTAAGGTGTTGACATAATAAAAGATACAATGAACCTTTGTTAACAAAAACCACTCAGAGACAAAACTGCACAACGTGAGTAAAAAAACCCAATGAAACCAAAATGAGAAATAAAAATTAATATTTTTTACGGCTGTCGTTATCCGTTATTCTCACCCCAGGTGAGAACAGTAGGCCCTACCCACTTTATTCTGTGAGAATAATCACATTGTTACTCTCACTCGGTCTGAGAATACAATTAATTTTATTCTCATCTGGGTGTGGAGAACAGGCAGGCCTAACCTGCATACATGTACCGATAATAGGATGACAGTATGATGTGAAATAAGAGAGTGTCATACTGTAATGATTACACATAGTGTGCTGTTATAGATTCTTTCATTTTCAACCAAAATTATACCGCAAAATGAGCGATTTTGAGGACAATTTCGCTGAAATCAGTGAGGAGGAAATTTCAGATTCTAAGATGTTTATAAGTGACTTCTGTTGTAATGTCTTTTGAGCCGGTGCAGGCCTAAACTGTGCACAAGGCCTTGGGGCTCTCTTAGATGCGTTAAAAGGACTGAAAAAAGGTTTGAGATGTATTGCCAAGGCTTCGGGAAGCACAAAATTATTTTCACAAATTTTTGTGTGAGTTAGGTCGAGAATCTAGAGATCTGTAACAGATGACCAGTGTTGAATCCCAACATCCCATAATTTCTGTGATAAGACTCCCAAAACCTGAACGAAATAAAAAGGGCGGAAACAAACACCCCGGGTGAGAATATGTGGAGAAGTATTCTCGCTGCGGGTGAATTTACTCACACCGTATTTTTACACATCAAAGCCAATTTGATTCTGCACTTGTCTTGAGTTTCTGGCCACGAATATCCCATACCATACCAGTCCAATTACTTTGAATAGACATTATTTCTGTACTGTACACTTTTAAACAGAGGCAAAATGAAGAAAGAATGCCATTTGGAAGCCAGGAACAGGCCTGTGAGAACAGTACAAATGGTACTCTGAAAGTTACCTAGAGCTCTGTAATCTTTCATCATCATCGCCTTTCTCACCCTGCCCCAGGGTTAGGCCACGAAAACACTTTCCACCTTTCTCTATCCTGGGCTTGCCTCTTGATGTAAATTCCATGTCTTCCCACTTTTCTGTTCATCAATTTTTGTGATTTTTCTACAGGTTCCACGCGGTCTTAGTCTTCCCCCTGATCTTTTACCCCGTGGATTCCAATCCAACTCATTATTTGATGCAGCTGCCTGACTTCCTGGAGAGTATGTCCAATCCATCGCTACCGTCTTCTTTCTAATTCATCTCTGACTGGGAATTTAGCATTTCAAGCTTTGGACATGGTAACTCCCTTCCTTAAATAAAAATAGTCTGTGGGTATCCCGGAAAGTGATGGCATCACATTACTAACTAAAACTAGCAGCCAATCAGGAAGCTGCGCCGTTATATAACGTTAACCATCGCCCTGCGGGGGCCGGGTTTATGTCGCCCGATAAGCCTATTTTGGCACCTCGCCTTTGTTCTGGTCCCGAATCAGTGTAGTCCCTGGCTCAGCGCACGCGCATCATCTTACGTGAAATTCCGGTCCCGAGTCGGATCCCCATTCACGCAGGTCAAGTGTGTGTGCGTCAGTCTGCTTGACAAGAGTTTGTGTGCGTTTGTGGCCTTCTTCTAGAACCGCCTGCGTTGGTTCGTAATCGAAGCATATGTCTCGTTCAAAACACGCCAAGTTGGTAGCTCTAGACTCTACATGTTCGTCAAATGAAATTATAGAAGAAATTGACCCACTTAGAACATGAGGAGCTCGAACTGATAGTCAGGAAACAAGACTTACATTTTTCTATACACAAAATCTTTCAAATGAGCCTGATTTTGTATGAAATGATAGTACCGGATAAAAAAGAAGCTTGTTTGATACTTTGGTAAATTTTTACTTTCACTCCCGCACACAGATGCACTGTTTCAGGGGTCAAACTGCTGTACTGTTTGCTGCAGATCACACATAATAAAGCCACTAAAATTGTCGCAAATCAATTATTTTCAAGACAATTTCAAATATAACTGTTCTGTAAAATATCAAATTATGGCTGTAACCCCCCAGATTTTCTTTTACCCCAGTGGGGCAGGCCCCCCTGGAACCCCCCAATTGGTCCAAAGCATGTCTATCTCGGTTAAAAACAATCAAATATTTCAAAAACTATTAATTTGCGACGGAAATGAAGTTGATATTCGTGTTCAGCGCATCAATATTTAGTAGAAAATAGACAACTGGTAGCTGAGTGTGAGACGGGAGGGAAAGTAAAAAAAATACTGATAGTTTTGAATACACCATCATGCAGGTACAAAGAACAATTTGAGTGCAAAACATTCGGAAATTGACCTTATAGCCTTATAAATCCCCTTTTGAACCTCAGGTCATTCATAACAACAAGAGCGTCAAGAAAGGTTATTCAAATGGGCGTAACTACTCGTAATGTCTTATCATCAGCTTACACTTGTGAGAGTGAGAGGGGGTTATTCATGTGTTTGTAACACTTCATAAAAATAGAAAGCTCATGAAAGATAGAGCGTTATTTTCATCATCGATTAACACACTCCCATGGTTTTAACTGCGGAAACACACATTTCTCGGCGCGCGCGCTGTACACCAACGGTACACACTGAGTGACCCCGGCGACCTGCCCGGCACGTCCAAGAGTTAAGTCGTAAGTGGCTGGGATCTCCTCTCCCGCAAGAGTGCCAAGTCCAAAGTTCAATCCAGAATTTGATGTTTTGCAATTCAATTAGGTTTGTGATCTCCTGCGTGCGTCGAAAGTAGGCTAGGCCTAGATCTAGATTCTAAATCTAGAGCTAGATCTAGATAAGATCTAATCGTTTAGAACCAGCCAGAATAAGAAGTCAACCTTCAGTCAGTTTCACTTTCATGATTCATGTAAGTATTTGTAAGCCAAAACCCACTCTTTCACTCTTTGTTTGTTGATCGTTTGGGGCCAAAATCGGATCCCTCCCCCCCTCCACATCAACCACGCTTAGTCCAATCTAAAAAAATCAAAGTCTTCTTACCTTTTTTTACTGTGCGTTATCTATCCCTATCACAAAGAGTGCATGCATGCAGCAATCAATGGCAGCGGTTGCGGGTTCCAATCCTCTGCGCTCTGCAACCAACAAAATGGAAGACAGGAAGTGGAGCCAAATTCAGTTCCTGCTTCCGTTGCTTTCTCAACTCTCTGGTGCTTTTTCCAAGGCCAGAAACTTAGGCCTAGAGTTTCTTTGGACTAGATTCTAGGCTACCTTGATGTGGCCGAGGCGTCCCTGATAATAAATGTTAACTTTTACTTCCCATGTTCAAAAGGCAGATTTATCCGCAAAAATTGATTTCCCTCTGTTTGTTTACCATTTAAGGGGGAATTCATTTAATAACATCTTCAAAGATGTCAAAGAAGCGGGAGCATACATTGAATAAAGTGGACTACAAAAGGTTCACACGAACTGGAACTTCATGGTTGTGTAATAGACTGGCCGAAACTTTGGTCCAATTTTTTCTTATTTAACCCCATCGAGATGAATTATCTTTAATATAGTATATAGGTCTAGTGCATACACTTAAACAATTCCTTCAATACCACTTATATCTCTATGATTCAAAAGAAGCGCGAAAGGGGGGGGGGCTGTTTTTTAGCGCGAAGTCGAACCCCAAGTTACATAACATGGCTTTATAACATCCAACGAATTTGTGGGGTCAGAAAGGGGGGGGGGGGGGGGGGGGGAGGAGAGGGGGTATTTCGTTTCGCTGAATCCAGGATAATCTTATATTAAGCTCCGCGACATTGACAAATCCCAGCTTTGACCATAGTCACCTCCAAATCAAAATTAATAAAAGAGCCAGGTCACACACAGCAGATTTTTGGCAACTGGGGATATATGATCTCCTATATAATAATTTTTTTCTTTTTTTTTTTGGGGGGGGG